GAGCGAGCACTGCAGCCGCCTCTGCCACATTCCCTGCATTTAGACCGCCTGCTAATATCCAACCTCTCCTGCTCTCGCCAGCTGGCACTTTCAGATTGGACCAATCAAACTTCTCTCCGCTGTTGTGGGAAAACAAAAGAAACATGGGAAGCACGTGCAGGGAAGAGGAGACAGGACAGGGACACGGGTGGGGGGAAGTCCGAGGTTGGGAGTAGGGAGGATAGACGAAGCAGCAGAAAAGGAGTAACATGCTGTGGAGCTTCATTTGTGCTTATGCCTGATTAAGGCCAGATATCTGGCTTTCTTGCTGTAGAAAAGAATGGACTCAGGTTGTGGGCATGAAGAGGGTTTCGGGTTAGAGGGTTTAGGGTTTATGTTTAGAGGTGGAAAAGAGGAGGAAGAGGTGCAGATAGGGAGAGCGAAGGGAACAAAGGGATAGAAGCATAGTCCAGCCCATACGATAATCATGCGGCCATGTGGACTTGCCCCCACCTGTCCCCTTGCCCCCACCTGTCCCCTTGCCCCCACCTGCCCCCTTGTCCCCACCCGCCCCCTTGCCCCCACGTGCCCCCTTGCTCCCACCTGCCCCCTTGGATGCCGTCAATCAGGATCCAGTCAGGTTGTGGACAAGAGAGGAAGAAGAGGAGGAGGATGCAGGAGAGCGTGAAGAGGGTCATGTTAGTGCTGGCCCCGTGCAGGCTTGCGCTCACCTGCCCCCTTGCATGCTTAGTGGGAATATACGCTTATAGCGTATATACGCGTATCGTATATACGCTAACGTATATACGCTAAACGCTTAAGGGTCGATTTGGTAATACGCTTTTTCGGGCAGGTAAAAAACTATCTCGGGCAGGGTGAAAAAGACGTCGTGCTCAAGATTAAGAAGGTGATCCCTATTCTCATTAAGACTTTCGTAGCATTTCGCTAAGTCTGAACGGCGATTGGGGTGGGACGTGGAGTAGACACTAAAAGGAGAAGTAGGTAGGAATCGGAAGGAGCTCTGCTGTTAGAAAGTGGGAATGCCAACTAGAAATGACGACTGGAATTTTGCTGGCTGGTAAGTAGCGTGAGTGGGGTTTGGTGGGGCACGTTTTTGACAGGTTGGAATTCGTAGATAATATGGGTTCCAATGCAGTACCAATCTAATGTTCAAATTTGAACTGCCTGCAACTTCGAAGGCCCACTCCCGCTTCCCTAGACCGTCAAATTGCATTTCGACTTAAAGCGACGGTGCACATTTGCCACCCAAAACCCAGAACCCTTGCGAACTGTTACTGCGGATGGAAAGTGTCCGCACGAAATCCTGGTTTTCGCCAGCCAGCACTTTCGCGCTGGCAAGCCTGGTTAAAAAAAAAAACTTCTGAACCCAACACTGCCAAAAGTTGCCCGTCGCTTTAAGGCGAAATGCTCAGCAGAAGATTCCGCATCTTTCTGTACACAAGCGATTTTTTTCCCTGGGCAGCCCGAAAATTTTTCTGATAGCGTATAGCGTATTAGCTAGCGTATTGCGTTTTGCGTACACACGCTAGCGTGTATACGCTATACGCTTTAGGGTTTGAGCGTATATTCCCACTAAGCTTGCATGCCGTCAACGCCTAATTTTGAGTCGACTCAAAAGCCTAGTTTTCAGTCGACTCAAAACTAGGATCTGGAAAGCACTGATGAAGGCTTAACGGGCTTTGAGGCGCCTCAAAAATCTTAACGGGCTTTGTCCCCCCTGTGAGTAAAAAATCTTAACGGGCCTTGTACTCCACTCTGAGATCAAATCCTTGGGTCATGCTGGTGCTGGCTCCGTACAGGATTGCTCACCTGCCCCCTTGCATGCCGTCAATCAGGATCCAGTCAGGTTGTGGACAGGCGGAAGAGGACGAGGAGGCGGAGGAGGAAGCGGAGGAGGGGGCGAGGGAGGAGGGAAGAGGGGTCTGCACGACGCCGTGTGAGTCGGCGTGAAGCACGAAGATGATGGACAGCCAGGGAGGGAGGTGGGGGAGAGATGCACGCGCTGTTTCTCCATGCAGCTGAGAAGGAGGGGCGGGGAAAGGGGGGAACAGGGGGATCATAGGGTGGTGTGTGGGTCGGCGTTTAGGGTTTTAGGGAGCACAAAGATGGTGGACAGCCATGGGGAAGAGGTGGGGAGAGCTGCTCGCGCTGTGTCTCCATGCAGCTGGGGTGGGGGGAAGGGTGGGGGGGGTTGGGAGAAGCAACCAGGGAGGAAAGAAGGTTTCACAGGATGGCATGGCGTGTGAGTGGCGTGAAGCACGAAGATGGTGGATAGCCAAGGGGGGACGTGGGGGAGAGCTGCTCCCGCTGTGCCTCCGTGAAGCTGAGAAGAGAAGGAGGGGTGGGAGGGAGGGGTACGGGGACGGAGGGAGAGAGTGTGGAGGGAGGAGCAACCAAGGAGGGAAGAGAGGTCTGCACGACGCCGCATGAGTCGGCGTGAAGCACGAATATGGTGGACAGCCAGGGGGGGGGGTGGGGGAGAGCTGCTCGCGCTGTCTCTCCATGCAGCTGAGAAGGACGGGTGGCGTGGGAGGGAGGGGGGAGGGGAGGGAGGAAGAGGGTGAGGGGGGAGTGGGGAGGAAAGCAGGTTTCACAGGATGCCGTGTGAGTCGGCGTGCAGAACAATGACGGACAGCCAGGGAGAGCGGTGCGGGAGTGATGCTCGCGCTGTCTCCCCGTGGAGCTGGCGTGGGGGAAGGGCGGGAAAACAGCGTGGGGTAGGAAAGGAGGTTTTGCATTTGCACGGCGCCGTGTGAGTCGGTGCGAAGCACGAAGATGGTGGAAGGCAGGGAGGGAGGTGGGGGAGAGTTGCTCGCGCGGTGTCTCATGGTGCTGGGGTGGGGGGAGGCGTGGGGAAAGGGTGCCTTCAGCCATGAGACTAGGCGAGCTGCAGCTTAGGAGAATTCTTTAGCAGAAGAAAAACAGTAGAGTTTAAAACTCTTGTGTTGCCAGTTCAAAAAACAAGATCGAAACTGAGCTCTAAGTCCACTACAACGATTAAAACGCAAACATGTTTCGGACGACTGGGACAGACCCCCGTCAATCCTTCATCAGTGCTAGCGGAACAAGAAACTAGAGCAGAAAGAGCAACCCATCAAGAAACAATCGAGGTTGGGTACAACCGTGGCTGAAATCTGGGCAGCCAATCCACAACACCCTGGAAAAAACCGAGGGGCTGAGGTCTTCACTCCTCGAGGCGTAACGTTGTTGAATCACAACTCGCCAGCTGGTGTTTCGGAAGCCTCGCACGAACAAGTAACTTTTGCAAGTTACAACCTGTTTTCCAAGCAACAAACAATTTCTCCATATAAAATCCGCGGGAGAGTAAGCGTGTTTTGAGACGTCTCAAAACTACCCCTAGCCCGAGTCGAGCCGACACAGGTGTGTAGGTCGTCTTCAAGACTAGGGGCCCGCGTGTAGGAGGAGATGTTCGTCGTTGTAACTGGTTAGCGAGGGTGCTGGTGAGAAGAGTCGCACGTTGTGCGAAATGGACGCCGTTGAAGATCGGTCGTAGGAAGACTGGCGGGTAACCGCGGGCACGAAGTCGCTGGAAGAAAGCGACCTTCGTCGTTCGGAAGGCCGTCGCCGAGGTCGAGCGTAGCAAGTAGCGCTGCAGTTCGGCGCGGATGAACCCCTCTTTACAGTGCCGCGGGTGGAAGGAGGAGAAGGGGAGATATAGGTACCTATTCATCGGTTTCTGGTAAGTACCGAGGTCTAGGAAACCACGTTCGTGGAAACGAGGCCCCTTGTGAAGAACCACATCCAGAAAATCCACGGAACGTTCCGAGATGTTCCACGTGATCCGAATGTTCGGATCCAAGCCGTTGAAGGTGCGCAGGTACTCCTCCAAATCAGACTGCGCGCCTGGCCAAATGATAAGGCCATCGTCAATATATCGGACGTGGTAACAAGGTGACACCCCGGTCCATCTCTCCTTCAGCAGCTCATCGAGACGACTCATGAACAGGATGGCCAAGCAAACGGCGACAGGAGTTCCCATCGCGGTCCCCTGCACTTGGTGGTACATCCGGTCGTCAAATTCCACAAAGGAATTTCTCATAACCCAACCCAGAAGGGCCATGAGCGGTTGAGCGAGCTGCGGGTTTTCTCTCGTCAAGAAACTGCTAACTGCTTCGAGTCCTCGGTCGATGGATATGCTGGGGTAGAGCGAGGTAACATCGTAGGTAGCTAGGAGGATATGAGGCGGGAAGGCCGTTGTCTCCAGCTTCGCTAGCAGTGCGAGAGAGTCGCGCAGGTAGGTAGCTCGTTTTAAAACTAGCGGTCTGAGTTGCGCATCCAGCCATCGACTCGCATTAGTCGTCACCCATGAATGAGAAGCTGCAATCGGACGTCCCACGGGTAACTTCTTATGGAGTTTAGGCAGGATGTAGAACGCCGCTGGGTGCCACCCTCCTGGCGGTTTGTCAAACAGAAATTTCCAAATACTGTCTGGGAAAGCAGGCCCCCATGTCGCCTTCAGCTCACTCAGCTGCTGCAGAACTCGAGGAGTCGGGTCGTGACGAACCGGTCTGTAGACATCCGCGTCGTTCAGGTGTTCCATGCACATCGCGACGTAGTGTGCTCGATCCATCACGGTAACTCCTATATTCTTGTCAGCTGGCTTGATGACGATGCTGCTGTCGAGCGATAGGGAACGTATAGCCGCACGTACACTCCGTGAAAGGTTCTGTCCACGCAGCGGCTTACACGTCTTCAGCAGGAAAGAAAGGTCGGCTCGCGCCTCCTTGAAGACTTGCTCCGGGACCTCGTCCCGATCGGGCCACCAATTAGGATTCTTCACCCGGAAACGTGATGAAGCTGATGGTCCTTTCCCCTTGAAGAAAAAGTCGAGGGAGATCTGTCGATGCAGCTGATGCAAATCTGCTTCGATGGAAAAGTTCCAGGCTGGCGTTGGTATGAACTTTAGTCCCATCCCGAGCGCTTTGGTCTCGTCGCGAGACAAAACCTTAGCGCTCAGGTTGTGTACTCCCCGGTTCAGAATGCGTGACTGCGCCTGTCGTAGAGTCAGCTTCCCGAACCAGCGCTTGTCGTAGGGTGCATGCGTGGGAAAGGGTGCATGTGTGGGAAAGGGTGCATGTGTGGGAAAGGGTGCATGCGTGGGAAAGGGTGCATGTGTGGGAAAGGGTGCATGCGTGGGAAAGGGTGCATGTGTGGGAAAGGGTGCATGCGTGGGAAAGGGTGCATGCGTGGGAAAGGGTGCATGCGTGGGAAAGGGTGCATGTGTGGGAAAGGGTGCATGCGTGGGAAAGGGTGCATGCGTGGGAAAGGGTGCATGTGTGGGAAAGGGTGCATGCGTGGGAAAGGGTGCATGCGTGGGAAAGGGTGCATGCGTGGGAAAGGGTGCATGCGTGGGAAAGGGTGCATGTGTGGGAAAGGGTGCATGCGTGGGAAAGGGTGCATGTGTGGGAAAGGGTGCATGCGTGGGAAAGGGTGCATGCGTGGGAAAGGGTGCATGTGTGGGAAAGGGTGCATGCGTGGGAAAGGGTGCATGCGTGGGAAAGGGTGCATGTGTGGGAAAGGGTGCATGCGTGGGAAAGGGTGCATGTGTGGGAAAGGGTGCATGCGTGGGAAAGGGTGCATGCGTGGGAAAGGGTGCATGTGTGGGAAAGGGTGCATGCGTGGGAAAGGGTGCATGCGTGGGAAAGGGTGCATGCGTGGGAAAGGGTGCATGCGTGGGAAAGGGTGCATGTGTGGGAAAGGGTGCATGCGTGGGAAAGGGTGCATGCGTGGGAAAGGGTGCATGCGTGGGAAAGGGTGCATGTGTGGGAAAGGGTGCATGTGTGGGAAAGGGTGCATGCGTGGGAAAGGGTGCATGTGTGGGAAAGGGTGCATGCGTGGGAAAGGGTGCATGCGTGGGAAAGGGTGCATGCGTGGGAAAGGGTGCATGTGTGGGAAAGGGTGCATGTGTGGGAAAGGGTGCATGCGTGGGAAAGGGTGCATGCGTGGGAAAGGGTGCATGTGTGGGAAAGGGTGCATGCGTGGGAAAGGGTGCATGTGTGGGAAAGGGTGCATGCGTGGGAAAGGGTGCATGCGTGGGAAAGGGTGCATGTGTGGGAAAGGGTGCATGCGTGGGAAAGGGTGCATGCGTGGGAAAGGGTGCATGCGTGGGAAAGGGTGCATGCGTGGGAAAGGGTGCATGTGTGGGAAAGGGTGCATGCGTGGGAAAGGGTGCATGCGTGGGAAAGGGTGCATGCGTGGGAAAGGGTGCATGTGTGGGAAAGGGTGCATGTGTGGGAAAGGGTGCATGCGTGGGAAAGGGTGCATGTGTGGGAAAGGGTGCATGCGTGGGAAAGGGTGCATGCGTGGGAAAGGGTGCATGCGTGGGAAAGGGTGCATGTGTGGGAAAGGGTGCATGTGTGGGAAAGGGTGCATGCGTGGGAAAGGGTGCATGCGTGGGAAAGGGTGCATGTGTGGGAAAGGGTGCATGCGTGGGAAAGGGTGCATGCGTGGGAAAGGGTGCATGCGTGGGAAAGGGTGCATGTGTGGGAAAGGGTGCATGTGTGGGAAAGGGTGCATGCGTGGGAAAGGGTGCATGCGTGGGAAAGGGTGCATGCGTGGGAAAGGGTGCATGTGTGGGAAAGGGTGCATGTGTGGGAAAGGGTGCATGCGTGGGAAAGGGTGCATGCGTGGGAAAGGGTGCATGCGTGGGAAAGGGTGCATGTGTGGGAAAGGGTGCATGCGTGGGAAAGGGTGCATGTGTGGGAAAGGGTGCATGCGTGGGAAAGGGTGCATGTGTGGGAAAGGGTGCATGCGTGGGAAAGGGTGCATGTGTGGGAAAGGGTGCATGCGTGGGAAAGGGTGCATGTGTGGGAAAGGGTGCATGCGTGGGAAAGGGTGCATGTGTGGGAAAGGGTGCATGCGTGGGAAAGGGTGCATGCGTGGGAAAGGGTGCATGTGTGGGAAAGGGTGCATGCGTGGGAAAGGGTGCATGTGTGGGAAAGGGTGCATGCGTGGGAAAGGGTGCATGCGTGGGAAAGGGTGCATGCGTGGGAAAGGGTGCATGCGTGGGAAAGGGTGCATGTGTGGGAAAGGGTGCATGCGTGGGAAAGGGTGCATGCGTGGGAAAGGGTGCATGCGTGGGAAAGGGTGCATGTGTGGGAAAGGGTGCATGTGTGGGAAAGGGTGCATGTGTGGGAAAGGGTGCATGCGTGGGAAAGGGTGCATGCGTGGGAAAGGGTGCATGTGTGGGAAAGGGTGCATGCGTGGGAAAGGGTGCATGTGTGGGAAAGGGTGCATGCGTGGGAAAGGGTGCATGTGTGGGAAAGGGTGCATGCGTGGGAAAGGGTGCATGCGTGGGAAAGGGTGCATGCGTGGGAAAGGGTGCATGTGTGGGAAAGGGTGCATGCGTGGGAAAGGGTGCATGTGTGGGAAAGGGTGCATGCGTGGGAAAGGGTGCATGTGTGGGAAAGGGTGCATGCGTGGGAAAGGGTGCATGCGTGGGAAAGGGTGCATGCGTGGGAAAGGGTGCATGCGTGGGAAAGGGTGCATGCGTGGGAAAGGGTGCATGTGTGGGAAAGGGTGCATGCGTGGGAAAGGGTGCATGCGTGGGAAAGGGTGCATGTGTGGGAAAGGGTGCATGCGTGGGAAAGGGTGCATGCGTGGGAAAGGGTGCATGTGTGGGAAAGGGTGCATGCGTGGGAAAGGGTGCATGTGTGGGAAAGGGTGCATGCGTGGGAAAGGGTGCATGCGTGGGAAAGGGTGCATGCGTGGGAAAGGGTGCATGCGTGGGAAAGGGTGCATGCGTGGGAAAGGGTGCATGCGTGGGAAAGGGTGCATGTGTGGGAAAGGGTGCATGCGTGGGAAAGGGTGCATGCGTGGGAAAGGGTGCATGTGTGGGAAAGGGTGCATGCGTGGGAAAGGGTGCATGCGTGGGAAAGGGTGCATGTGTGGGAAAGGGTGCATGCGTGGGAAAGGGTGCATGCGTGGGAAAGGGTGCATGTGTGGGAAAGGGTGCATGCGTGGGAAAGGGTGCATGTGTGGGAAAGGGTGCATGCGTGGGAAAGGGTGCATGTGTGGGAAAGGGTGCATGCGTGGGAAAGGGTGCATGCGTGGGAAAGGGTGCATGTGTGGGAAAGGGTGCATGTGTGGGAAAGGGTGCATGCGTGGGAAAGGGTGCATGTGTGGGAAAGGGTGCATGCGTGGGAAAGGGTGCATGCGTGGGAAAGGGTGCATGTGTGGGAAAGGGTGCATGCGTGGGAAAGGGTGCATGTGTGGGAAAGGGTGCATGCGTGGGAAAGGGTGCATGTGTGGGAAAGGGTGCATGCGTGGGAAAGGGTGCATGCGTGGGAAAGGGTGCATGTGTGGGAAAGGGTGCATGCGTGGGAAAGGGTGCATGCGTGGGAAAGGGTGCATGCGTGGGAAAGGGTGCATGTGTGGGAAAGGGTGCATGCGTGGGAAAGGGTGCATGTGTGGGAAAGGGTGCATGCGTGGGAAAGGGTGCATGTGTGGGAAAGGGTGCATGCGTGGGAAAGGGTGCATGCGTGGGAAAGGGTGCATGTGTGGGAAAGGGTGCATGCGTGGGAAAGGGTGCATGTGTGGGAAAGGGTGCATGCGTGGGAAAGGGTGCATGTGTGGGAAAGGGTGCATGCGTGGGAAAGGGTGCATGCGTGGGAAAGGGTGCATGTGTGGGAAAGGGTGCATGCGTGGGAAAGGGTGCATGCGTGGGAAAGGGTGCATGCGTGGGAAAGGGTGCATGTGTGGGAAAGGGTGCATGCGTGGGAAAGGGTGCATGCGTGGGAAAGGGTGCATGCGTGGGAAAGGGTGCATGTGTGGGAAAGGGTGCATGCGTGGGAAAGGGTGCATGCGTGGGAAAGGGTGCATGCGTGGGAAAGGGTGCATGCGTGGGAAAGGGTGCATGCTCGCAGAACAAGGATGGTGGATAGCCAGGGAGGGAGATGGGGAGGCATGCTCTCTCAAGGACCATATGGGCTGGAACAATACGGCGGCGACAGAGAGGATAAGAACGTGGGAGTGTGGGGACAAGGAGGGGGGGCGAGGGTGACGTGTGATTCACGATAGAGCATCACATGGAGCGAGCATCACATGGAGCGAGCATCACATGGAGCGAGCATCACATGGAGCGAACATCACATGGAGCGAACATCACATGGAGCGAGCATCACATGGAGCGAGCATCACATGGAGCGAGCATCACATGGAGCGAGGCGAGGACCAAAGGTTGAAACCAGGTGCGCTGTTGATGACTCGATGTTGTCAGATTTGCGTCAAGAGAGGGTTGGGCAGGCGGTGGTGAGGGAGGGACGGCATGGGAATTTTTTTAGGGTGATATAAGCGGGGGTGAAGGCATTGGGTGATGTAAGCGGGGGTGAAGGCATTGGGTGATGTAAGCGGGGGTGAAGGCATTGGGTGATGTAAGCGGGGGTGAAGGCATTGGGTGATGTAAGCGGGGGTGAAGGCATTGGGTGATGTAAGCGGGGGTGAAGGCATAGAGTCATAAGCATGGCATGCGAGGATCAGCAAACATATATGCCCAACCTGGGTGATAATGAGGGCGTCATAGATAGGTTGCTGAATCTGAGGTATGCTTTGTGGGTACTGGATCACGGAACTAACCCTTTCTAATCTACACAAACCGTCTCCTACCGTCGTCCAACTGTGACCTGTCCCACCTCCCACCGCCTCCCACCGTCTCTCCCCATCTCCCCCCATCTCCCCCTGTCTCCCCCCGTCTTCCCCCGTCTCCCCCCGTCTCCTCCCGTCTCCCCCGTTTCCTGCACTATGGAAAGTTAGACATGGCGAGAGCTTCTCGTCGTTTCCATCTAGAAGCCATACCTGCGCGACGAACACTCCCGCCTCTCTACAAGCTGCTTCGATTTCAGCCGCATTTTCGTCCACGAACACGCCGACAGGCACCGCGCCGCCCGACCTCGCGGCCGCCGCGACTCGCGCCGCCACTGGCAAAGCGATCGACCGCTTCGCCTTGGGCCACAGGATCATGCCGACAAACGCGGCGCCATTCGCGGCGGCAAACGCGGCGTCTTCCTCGGACGTCACCCCGCAGATTTTGGCCTTTGGGCGTGCGGAGGTGGCTGACGTGGCAGGAGTCGCTGACGTGGTTTGTTCAGACACTGCCTTCGTTGCAAAAGTGATTGAAAGGTTGCCACGTGGCGTCCTACGATTGGCAGACCCATCTGTGCGCGCGCGCGTTAAATTTACAGGGAAGAAAGAGCTTGCGAACTGGATGTTGGTGGAGCCGAGGAAATGCGAGCGCGGGCGAAAGGCTGGCGCGGAATGCGGGGGATGTTTCAAGGTTGAAATGGCAGCGGAGGCCATGGCTGAAAGCTTCACCGCGCCGCCAGACCTAAAAGCTTGTTGAAGGTCCTAGAATTTGGTCAGGAATAAACGACGTTGTTTGCGGGTGGCGTGTGAGTGAGTTGAGGTGATTTTCTTCCCAAGCGTGTTCGGAAAGTGGAGGTTTCAGCTTTCGGTAGGTTGGATTTTCTGTACCTCGTCGCTTCTCAGTGGTTTGGAAATTCACCGAGTGCGAAAGATTGGATCAACCAATGTGGCGAACTTTCGCAGTGCTGTGCTTAACGATGTCCTGGAGATGACGCTTTGTTGCAGATACTGTATATTGGTTCGGTTCGTTCGGAAGAACTCGTTCGCAGAATGGTTCGGTACGAAGTTCTATTTACGGCTGAGGGATTGGACTCGCAATGTTCGGGCGAATGTATATTTGTATCGCCACAGCGACTTCACGGGATGCTCTCGCGCCGCCTGTCAAAGGCGACACAACGGGATTCTTCTCGCATAGGAATCATCGTGATCGTTTTCTCATAGAGGAATGAATGCTTTTCCTTCTTTTCCACAATCCCCGTCAGATTGTCCTCGATTATCTCGCCGAAACGCTGCTAGCAGCAACATTAGTGATATCCAAAATACTCCATGGCGTTTTTGACTGGAAGCGGCAAGATCGCTCGTATCACCGCTGACAGAAACCACCGGAGTTCTTCTTTAGCGATTTAAGAAGAAGAGAACGAAAAGCAACATGAGTCTTGTCTGATAGATTGGGGTTTCATCTCAAGTAGAGATTTCGCTAGGCCAATCCCTGCCTGTCAGCAACCTCTGCTGCATCGGCGCGCAGCTGCTGCTCGGTACGACGAGGCGAGTCTATCGGAACGGTGTCTTGGCCAGTGTCGATAATACTAGGCCAGTCTATCGGTACGATCGTTTCGGCTGCTGCCACGTGGCAGCACATGGCTGTGGATTCGTGGGCGACGCGGAACCCGTTCTTTGAGGACGGGCTCCATGCGTGGTACGCGTTACGAGGCGGCGACGACACGTGTCGCCTCGTGATGAGCGAGAGTGCATCACGCGAGAAGGCGTGGCACGGCATGACGCAGGATGTTTTAAGTCGGCTCGGTGTGCAGCGGTGCGCAGCGGTGCTGATGGGTCGCAAGGAGGCGTGGCACGGTATAGCGCAGGACATTCACAGGCGTCTCACGCCCCACTGCCGTTACAACGTCACTGCTGACGTCAGCGTGAGGGACTCTGGTAGGAATATAGCAGCTGCAGCGGCGGCAGCGGTGGCAGGAGGAGGAGTGAGAGGGAGAGGGGGAGAGAGGGGGGCGGGAGGAGCGGTAGGGGAGGGGGTGGTAGGGAGGCAGGCAGTACCAGTGCTGGTGACGGTGCGATGGGATTTCGAAGAAGGATCTGAATACAACCAAGCATGCAGGTTCGTGCGTACAGGTGTCCTTGTGTGTGTGTGTTGGGGGGGGGAGGAAAGCTAGGGGGACGGGGGGGGGTGAGTGGGGGTTTTCGTGAGTGTGTGTGCTCGTGCATGCATCTGTGTCTTCCTGTGTTGTGCAAGTGTGTATGCAGGTATATGTGTGCATGTGTGTGCATGTGTGTGCATGTGTGTGCATGTGTGTGCATGTGTGTGCATGCGCGTGCATGCGAGTGCATGTCATATCAGCCTGTGCCCATGTGACATGCTCCCCGTGTGACTTGCTCCCTAACAGGGCCATGGTGAAAGAGGGCCAGTGGGTGAGGCTGCAAGGGCACTTCACCGCTCCACACCGCATTCCACTCAAAGTGGGTTGATACAAGGCAGGTAGGCTGGCCCAGAAGAATGGCTATGAGACTGTTAGGCTGAGCCAAGGGCGTCAGAGCAGCACCACACACACTGTGTGTGAAAATTTCAAGGCAGAGCCATGCGAAGTTGCTCGTTTGAAGAGAGAAAAGAAACAAAGCCGGTGAGGAGCCATGAGTAGTTGATAGACGTCTCGCAAGCCAACGTGGAGGGGTATGAGAAGGAGCGAAAGGGGGTGAGGGTGGCACAGCACTCTCTCACACAGTGCAGCACGCTATCGTTCACCTTTCTCTACCAATTAGTCATCCCTCTGGGCCGATCGCCTCTCCCATCCTCCCATCCACACCCATCACACTCCATCGCACCCCATCGCACCCCATCGCACACCATCACACCCCATCGCACCCCATCGCACCCCATCGCACCCCATCACACCCCATCGTACCCCATCACACCCCATTCGTACCCCATCGCACCCCATCACACCCATCACACCCCATCGCACCCCATCGCACCCTATTGCACCCCATCGCACCCCATCGCACCCCATCGCACCACATCGCACCACATCGCACCACATCGCACCACATCGCCCCCGATCTTACATGGTTGTACCACGTCCTCATCACATATGCACCCTCTCTCCCCACTCTTCCCCTCATCATCGCCTCAATCAGGTGACAGCTTACATCGAGGGTCCCCCTCCCGCATTCGACCTCCTTATTAGCCTTTTCGCTATAGTCCCAGCCTCCGACCCACAGCCCACCTTTCCCCCTCTTCCACCCACTACTGCTGCTGCTGTGAACATTCCCCTTCCTCTTACTCGTACTAATTTCCCTCCTCCTCTCACTCCTCTCGCTTCTCTTGCTGATCCGAACGCATCAGCGGCAGCAATTTTCCCACCTTACCCCACTTCTTCTCCTCGTCCTCCTCTCCGTTCCCCTCGCCCCAACCTCCTCCTCAACGGCGATTTCTCCCTCCGCACTGCTAGCTGGCGGCCCATGGGTGGCTGTGAGGTGCTGACGTGGCACGCGCCGTGCTCATGGGGCTCTGCGGTTGGTCCTCCGGTGGAGCCCTCCTCCCTGCCCGCCTCTCATCCCTGCACCGTGTTTGAGCGGCGACAGATGCAGCTGCATGCACAGTGGAAGCAGCAGCAGAAGCAGCGGCAGCAGCAGGAACGGCAGCAGCAACAACAGCAGCAGAAACGGCAGCAAGAGCAACACTCTGACTCTAAACAACGCGATCCTATGTCATCAAGCCTTCTTTTGCCTCTGATTGAACCTGTCTCCTCGGTGCCTCTAGCAGGAGGACCCACAGGTGCCTATGTGGAAGTGACAGGTAGGACTGCCACGTGGCATGGGCCAGCTCAGGACATCGCAGCAGCCAATCAGAGCCCTGAAAGCAGCACTGCCCGGGCTGATGACAGCGCTGACGGTGGGCCAATTCGTCGGTCTGTGACGTATGCTGTGAGCGCGTGGGTGCGTTTGGGGAGAGACAGACAGCACAAAGAGCGCGGGCGGGGAGAACAGAAAATCCTCCCCCTCTTTGCAAGAAAGGAAAAAAAAGGAGAGGAAGGAGGGGCAGAAGAAACGGAGGCAGCAGAGGCAGAAGGAGTGGAGGAAAGGGTGAAATCACATGCAGTGAACATCGCACTAGGGGTGGATGGGGGATGGGTAAATGCTGGTTCGGTAGAAGCTTCCGGGAAGGAGTGGGTGCGGTGCTGGGGGTCGTTTCGCCTAGAGAAGCCGTACAGGCAAGCAGTGCTGTACGTGCAGGGCCCGCCGCCAGGTGTCAGCATTCAATTGGCCGATGTGCACGTGGTGCCTGTGGAGTGGCGGGAGAGGGTGCCATGGCTGCGCGAGCAAGCAGACAGGGTGAGATGTGGAGTGCGGTGGAGAGTGGTAGAGATGGGTGAAGAGGGGTGGAGAGGGGTGGAGAGAGGTAGAGCAGGGTGGAAAGGGGTGGAGAGGGTTGGAGAAGGGTGGAGAGGGGTTGTTCACTGTAGGGTGTGACTTTTGCTCCCAAGCCCCAACCCCTCCCGCACCCCCTCCGCCCCTTCCCACCCACACCCCTTCTCCCCGTCCCACACTCCCTCTCTGTTTCCTACACCCCCTCTCTCCGACATGCCCACATGCCCAATCCTCCTCCCACCACAAACCTTTGCCACCCCCACACACACCCCTCTTTCCCCCATCAGCTCCGCAAGGGATCGTTTCGTCTCCGCCTCCTCTCCACCACACAAAATTCCTCCCTCTCCCAAATACACCGCATTTAACTCCCTCCCACACCCCTTCTCCCCTCCCCACCACGCCCTCTTTCCCCCATCAGCTCCGCAAGGGATCACTGCGTCTCGGCCTCCTCTCCGCCGCCGGCCAGCCAATCCCGTGCGCCCACGTGTCAGCCAATCAGACGCGCCGTGCCTTCCCCCTGGGCACCTGTGTGAACTCGAGGGACCTGCTGGGGAACCCACGCTACCAGTCCTTCTTCCTTTCCCGATCCCAGGGAGGGGGAATGGGAAACGAAAAGGATCCACAGATTTTTCGTGAGGGAAAGGGAAGCAGGTTGAGTGGGAGTGGGAGTGGGGCGTGGTTCAGCTGGGGCGTGTGTGAGAACGAGCTCAAGTGGACGAGTGTGGAGGCGAGGCAAGGCGAGGAGGACTGGAGGGACGCTGATGCCATGGTGACGTGGATGCAGGTGTGTGTGGTGATAGCTGGGGGTGAGAGTGGGGATGGGGATGGGGATGGGGAGGGGGATGGGGATGGGGATGGGGATGGGGATGGGGATGGGGATGGGGATGGGGATGGGGATGGATATGGGGAGGGGGATGGAGATGGGGATGGATATGGGGATGGGGATGGAGATGGGGATGGATATGGGGATGGGGATGGAGATGGGGATGGATATGGGGATGGGGATGGAGATGGGGATGGATATGGGAATGGGGATGCAAGGACGAGGAGAGTGGATTGTGGGGAATTTCGTTGTGAATTTTGTTGTGCACATGCAGTTCAATGTGCACATAAATATCGTTTCAGTCCATACTGATTATCTTATGGCTGTTTGATCATGCGCGCATGTCTGCGTGCGTGCAGGAGCATGGAGTGGCAATGAGAGCACACTGTCTCTTCTGGGACAACATGCGCCCGCCTTGGGTGGACAAACTCTCACTCGCGGACCTCAAAGGTAATGCAGGCGACAGTCACCTGTATTGCCCTGTCGCTCCAAGCATGACTGTCCAATGCCTTGAAGGTGTGCTGACAATGAGAGCAGTTGCACATGAGCAAGGCAATTCAAATGCACTGCCCTGTTTGAAACAGCATGCGGTCGGAAGGAGGCTTCTACCTACTATCCTCTCCTCTGCTCCGTCTTCCCTCTGCTCAATCTGCTCGTCCCTATCCTCCCTCTACCCCCCCGCTCCCTCCCCACATTGTGGGGCGCTACTTACAGCAGAATCACATCCCTCCGCGCTCGCTACCCCTCCTGCTTCGCTCACATGGATGTCAACAACGAGATGCTGCATGGGGGGTGATTCCCCTATTGCTGTGCCCAATCTACTTTCCCCCTCTCCCCCCCCTACTCCCCGTTCCTCCCCAACACAGATGCTATTGACAGCAGAGTCACATCCTTCCTCACCCACTACCCCAACTGTTTTTCCACATGGATGTCAACAACGAGATGCTTCACGGGGATTGTTCTCCTCTCGCTGCGGCCAAGCTACTCTTCTCTCACCTACCTTCCCCATCCCACCCCTCCCCCCTACACAGAAGCTATTGACAACAGAATCACATCCCTCCTCTCTCGCTACCCCAACTGTTTCTCTCACATGGATGTCAACAACGAGATGCTTCACGGGGGATTCTTCTCCTCCCGCTGCGGCCCATCCATCATTCCCCGCATGTTCCAGTTCGCCGCCCAAATCGCGCCCTCCCTCGTCCTTTTCCTCAACGAGTACCACATAGAGGACGGCGAAGACGAAAAGAGCCGCCCGGAAAAGTACGCGCAGTTCGCCCGCCAGCTCATCGCCAGCGGGGCGCCAGTTGGCGGGCTCGGCACGCAGTGCCATATCAGCGCGCCAGTTGGCGCCCACATGCGGCATGCATGGAACATCCTGGCAGATGTAGGGTTACCAGTTTGGGTTACAGAGCTAGATGTGAGCTCTGTAGACGAAAAAGTGAGGGCGGATGATTTGGAGATTTGTCTAAGAGAGGCGTTTGGGCATGGGGGAGTAGAAGGGGTGGTGCTATGGGGTTTTTGGGAAGGTTCCGGCTTGGATCGACCGTCCATGTCAAGGAAAAACGCACACTTGGTGCGTTCTGATTGGTCGTTGACGGAGCCGGGGGAGAGGCTGGAAAGGTTGCTAGAGGAATGGACGACAAGGGGTGTGGTGGGGAGGACGGATGAGGAGGGGTGGTTTGTGGTTGAGGGGTTTGCAGGGGAGTACGAAGTGGTGGTGAGAGATGGAGGGAAGGAGTGGAGGACCATTGTGGAGGTGATTCCGCAGAAAGAAAGTGTCGTTGAGTGGAGGCTTGAGAGCTGACAGATGTGACTGCTGCTGATTCAGCCAGATAATGCTGTGCATTTTGTATATAGTGTATATATGGTTCATGATTTGTGGATTCACTGTAATTTAAGTTGCATCAGCGCGTGGCGCACAGAGTGAATGTCAAAGCAGAGAGCAGGGAGCACCTTCGCCTGAAACCTGTTCTTCGATAGAAGGTACCCGGTACACCAATATATATGGTCATCATTGAATCGTATATGCACCAGTGCTTGTCGCCAGGCACCACCACCCGCCATTCCGCGCAGTTTTTTTTCGCCTTCACCCCCCCGTACCCTCCGCCACTCGGCGCGCCATCCTTCCGCGCCACCTCGTCGCCGCCCACCCCGCCCGCCTCGCCCACCGCGCCTCCTCATCGCCCCGGTCCGACCGCGCGGCTGCGCGCCGAGCTGCGCACACAGCTGCATGCGCGCATAGCTGCGCGCGTGCCGCTCATCGTCGTCGGGCGGAGGCTCCGGTCGCCCCGCCCCCCGCAGGCAGTCGATTGACGCGCGTGCGGGGCGCTGCTGCTACGGCATTTCCGCTCGAATCTCCTCTCCGCATTCGGGCAGGCGCACCAGAGCGCGCTAAAGCGCGCCTAAACGCTCCAGAGCGCATGAGAGCGCAGCAGAGCACCAGCTCGGCATTCGTGCAGGCGCACCAGCGCACCAGAGCGCGCTAAAACGCGCCAGAGCGAATCAGAGCATGTCCGCTAATAGTGAGTCGCCATGCCTGCCGTCCACGCAGCCTGCACAATGCCCCACCCACTTTTCCCCTTGCGCCCTAATCCTGCACTCCCCACTTCGTGTTCCCACTCTCCCATCCGCCTGCAACTCGGACTCTCCCTCTACCTCGCCCCGCCCTTCCCCTTACTCCCCACATTCCCGGCCCCACCCCCCACGTACCCAATTAGCCTGCAACTCGGACTCTCCCTCTACCTCGCCCCGCCCCTCCTCTCCACTTCCTCCTCTCCCCCCGCCCCCCCCCCATCCCCCACCCCTCCTGGCTGTTTCATTCCTGGCGCTTCCCCACGTTCTCCTTCCCCTTAGACTCCCCGTCGTCCATTCCTCCCCTCGCTCCCCGCCCCCCTCTCTTACGATTATTCCAGTGCTAGCAGGCTTCCCCACCGCCCCCATCAACGTGCACCTCGGGATCTCCCGGTACCCCGCACCCCGCCCCTCCTCCCGTCCCTCATTTCCCTCCACAATCCCCCTCCTCCCCCTTTCCCCCCTCTTCTCCCTCATCCCCCCTCTCCCCCAGATCCCCCATCAACTCGCACCTCAGGAGCGCCTTCCCCCACAACCCCACGCTCATTCCTTCCCCTCCACTCTCCACCCGTCACTCCCCCCTCCCCCCACGTCCCCCATCAACCCGCACTGTGGGATCTCCATTCCCCTTACCCCTTCAATCATTTCCTTTCCACCCCTTCCCCCTATCGCCCCTAGCTGTTTTGGTGCTAACAGGCTTCATCACCTCCTCATCCATTTGCCCCCACACTCCTCCCTCCCCCTTCCCCCTCCCCCCCCTCTCCCACCCCTTCTCGCCTCTCTCTTTCTATTATCCCAGTGTTGGCAGGCTTCCCCACCTCCCCCATCAACCCGCACCTCGGGATCTCCGCGTCGGGATCGGTGCCGCCCGGTGCCGCCCTCCTGCTGTGTGATGACGTGGCAGCAGAAGGAAGCTTCCTGCTGCTGCACCTCCTCAAGTCGCACCTGCTGCTGCCGCCCCCAGAAGGGGGAGGGGGGAGGGAGAGGCGGGGGGAGGAGCAGGGGGACGGAGGTTGCAGGGGAGGTGGGGAGGGGTGTGTGAGAACGGTGTGTTTGGTTGCACTGGCGCACCCTCCCTCTCATTACAGTCACGTCGCAAGGCGAATGGTATAGTCAAGCTCCTTCTCACTGTAGTCACATTGCAAGGAGAATGGTGAGGTTGTATGCATGGGTGCATGTCCAGGAAAGGAAGCAACATGATGTCAGATGTCCCACATGAATCGGAAGGTTACGTCTCCTCTTTATTCACTGCCACTCGTTTTCCCTCCTCACTTCTGTTCTTCACCCACTCCTTTCTCTCTCCCTTCTCTCCTCTCTTCTTCCCTTCCCACGCCCTCCTCTCTCGTCTCCCCTCTCTTCTCCCGTTTCCCTCCTCCTCTCCCCCCCAGGGAGTTCACTTCACCGACCTCTGCAGGCAGCATCGCCTGGCCATCATTGACGGCCAATCACAGGCCTACACGTGGCAGCCTGGTGGCTTAGATCATGCACGAGTGTGTCAGCAGCAAAAGGAAATGCCACATCAACAGGAGCCGCAGCAGCAGCAGAATCATCATCAGCAGCAGCAGCAGCAGGCAGGAGTGTACCATTTCTCTCCACCAGTCCCCTTCTCTCCTCCCTCTCACCCGCCCTCTCATGCACCCCCCACCAACAACCCGCCTCACTCTGCCAACCCCCTTCGCGCCCTCTACTCCTCCATCTGCTCTGCTGTCACCTCCCTTGGCTGCCCCCTCCACTCCTCCCAACCACCCCATACCCCTTCCCACCCTGCTGAACCCCTTTCTCACCCTGATCTCACTGCACTGACTCAACCTGCTGCTGATGCTGCTTGTTCTGGTGCTGGAGCTGCCACGTCACCATCTGGGGCTGCTGACGTGGCACCTGCAGCTCGGTGTGGCGGCCAGCTGTGCATCGTGATTGATGATGTGTCGTTGCTGGAGACGTGCGCGGGCGGCGATTCTCGGCTGGTTATGGACTTTCTGTCCGCATGCCGTGGCCTATGCACTAAGCACCATGTGAGCAATCTTAAATCTGTATTTGTACACTTATTGTCACACTTACTGTCACCACACTCAGTGTCGCATTTGCACACTTAGTGTCGTATTTGCACACTTAGTGTCGTATGTGCACACTTAGTGTCGTATTTGCACACTTAGTGTCGTATTTGCATACTTAGTGTCGTATTTGCACACCTAGTGTCGTATTTGCATGCTCGTTGATATTGCTGCACACTTAGTAATCCATGCACGCACACCAAGCACAACGTATGCACACACAGTGGAGAAAGCGTGTGAGCCTCCCACTCCTGAGCGTGCCAACTCAACAGACCATGTGCCACGCGCACTCACTCCACGGAAACTTACATGTGCCACTGTTTCTTTGCAAATCTCTCCCTTACCCAGTCCCTCCTTACAACGCCTTCTCCGCGCTCTTTTAACCTCCTGTTTGTTCCTTTCCTCCTGCCTTCTCTTACTATGTTCCCCCCCTCCCCGACCCCCCCCCCTTTCCTTCCAAAAAAACTCTCCCGTGCTTCTCACCCATCCAGCCATCGACCCGACCACCTTCTCCTCTGCTGCATCCTCACCTCCCTCCTTTCCTATCTATGCTTCCTTCCCTTCTCCCCCCTCCGCGGCCCCCTTCCCTCTCCCCGTCCTCCCAGAGGGCTTCCCCCATGCTCCTCACTCATGCAGCCGTCCACCCACCCACCTTCACCTTCGCTGCACCCCCACCTCTCTCCATTCTGTGCTCTCTCCTCCCCTCCATTGTTTCTCACTCTCTTCTCTCTCATCCCGTTTCCCCTTGCCTCTCCCTGTCCTTACAGAGAGCCTCCCTTGTGCTGCTCACCCATGCAGCTGTCCACCCAACCACCTTCACCTTCGCTGCAACCCCACCACTGCCACTCCCCACCCTTTCCTCCTCCTCCACTTCCTCCCCGATCGCCTCTCCACCCATCCTGCCCTGGCTGCTCCATCTCTCTGACGTGCTCGTGCTGCTGAGACCGCTCACATCAGGCCATGCATCGGACATCCATGGGCAGGTAAGAGTGGGATTGATCATCTGCTCCGTGTCGTCTCTCCTTCAACCCCCCTCCCATCGCGTCTTCCCCCTGCTCCTTCCCGCCCTGCCATTGCACCTCGCTGATGTGCTCGTGCTGCGGAGACCGCTCACAGCAGGTCATGCATGAGACATCCACGGGCAGGCAAGAGTCGCCCTGACCTGATCATCCCCCGGCTCCTCCCATTGCCTCTCCGCCCCTCCTGCCCTGCCTCCTTCACCTGTCTGACGTGCCCATTCTTTTAAGTCCACTTAGATTAGGCCATGCATCGGGTGAGATAATGTATGGCAGCTGAGTGAGATAATGTATGGGCAGGTGAATTGATGTTTGGGCAGGTGAGATAATGTATGGGCAGGTGAATTGATGTATGGGCAGGTGAATTGATGTATGGGCCAGTAAAATCTTCAGAGGCAGGCGAAATTGTTCACGAGCAAGTGAGGTTGAAAGGCTGAAGAAAATATGTTGCTCACATGGTTACTACGTTGTGCTGCCTTGCACCACCTGCACTTCGCATTCTCCCCCTTCAACCTCCCTCCCACAACAGACAGATATCGTGTATCTCACTCCCACGCTGCTGCACGGCCCATCACATGGGAACGACGCATCCGCCCCCTCACTCCCCATGTTCCTTTCCCCCTCACTCCCCATGTTTCTTTCCCCCTCACTCCCAATGTTCCTTTCCCCCTCACTCCCCATGTTCCTTTCCCCCTCACTCCCCATGTTTCTTTCCCTTTCCCTGTCATGTTTCTTCCCATGCCACACCGGGCGGACAATGTTCATCTCACACCCACACTGCTGCACGGCCCATCCCACAAGGATGGTGGTTGATCGTAACACTAACTTCAGATGTCCTTGCTGCTGCTATTGTGCTCCCTGCCGTCCCTCTTCCCTGCCTTCGCCATACCAGGCAGACATCGTGCATCTCACACCCACGCTGCTGCACGGCTCACCACACGGGGATGACTCACACCACCCTGCCTGCCAGCAGCAGCACCTGGTGTATCAGATCACCGACACTGGCGCTGTGTTTGCTGCCACACAATAGGCAGGATCTCAAATACAAGTACTCTCGTCCTCACAGGGTGCTACCACCTGGCTCTGCCTTTCTGCCACCGCTGCTGGCAGCAGCACCTGGTGTATCAGATCGCGGATACTGGCGCTGTGTTTGCTGCCACTCAGTAGATAACACTCAGAAACACGCTGAGGGTGCTAGCTTACCACCAGTGCAAGCAGCGCCACTGCCACTTACCCTGCCAGCAGTAACACGTAATGTATCAAATCATGGATTCCGGCGCCGTGTTTGCTGCCACTCAATACATCACTCAGAACACCATGAGCTTGCAAAGATGACACACCACCCCACCACATTCCCTGCCAGCAGTGACATGTGGTGTATCAAATCTCAGATACCGGTGCTGTGTTTGCCGCCACTCAATAGATAAGACTCAGAGCACCAGGTTACCACCTGTGCCAGCAGCACCACTGCCGCCCTTCCTGCCAGCAGCAGCATGAGGTGCATCATATCGCGGATGCTGGCGCAGCACTGGGTTTGCTGCCACGTAATGAGATGGATTTGGTTATGCTAGCATGCAAGTAATCATAGGGCATTGCCTTGCCAGCCCTCCCTGCCAGCAGCACCAATCCCACCCTCCCTGCCAGCAGCAGCACCTGGTGTATTAAATCATGGACTGGCGCCATACTTTCCGCCACCTTGAGTGTGCCCAGCTACCCCCACTGCCAGCAGCACCAATCCCACCCTCCCTGCCAGCAGCAGCAACTGGTTTATTGATTTACAGATGCTGGCACCATGTTTGCTTGCCGCCGCAACGGTGAATCGGAATGTAGATTCTTTATTTGATAGCTTGAAGTGAAATAATACTGCGAAATGGATGTGTTTTACGTTGCTTAAAGCCCGAGTCTAGAATGGCAAGTGTTCAAGTTCAATATTCTTGAACTACCGGTAGAATTCGCCTGTGCGGGGCTCTCTCGCGATCCATTGTGAAGGTGTTTGAAGCGCAGGATTATGATTGGCCAAAAGCACAACAGCGAAACCACTGTCGACACTTGCCAGAACAAACAAGAACTGGGGCCACTGTGGAAACTTGAAACTTGAAGCTACCTTTCTAGACTCGATGAGTAGTAGGCTCCGTAGCCCACAATATAGTTAGCGGCCGATACCTACGTCGAGCACCCAGAATTTTGTAATGGGACTTGTGTCGGTTTGCATAGTATAGGTCTCCACCGTCCCTCACGTAACGCCCAGGGCAGCCGATCTCTCGCGATACGCGCATAAGATATCTCATACACTGTAACGCACCACCTAACTACAACTACTTCTTCCTAGTCTAAGTCGAGAAGTGTCTCGACAGAAATAGGACTACGGGAGTTGAAGGTTGGGTTGGGAGAGAAAGGTTGGCTTGGGATTCCAACCCTCAACTTTGAGGCTTGGAACTTTCCAACCCAACAAATGTGAAGACTGAATGGTTGGGATTCCAACCAATTAGAACTTGCCAGTTGTTAATCCACACAAACTTTAAAACCAGGGTGCACATTCAACGCGGTTCGGCTTGAGATGTTGGGAAGGGGGTTTGGAGAAAAACAGTGATTGGCTCACGAGGGGCGACAAAAAAATGATTCCGCTAGAGCTTCGGGCATTTCGTAGGTGGCGGGAGGGGGTGAAATGGCGGGAGTGGGTGAAACCGAATGGCGGGAGGGATGAAACAGATTGGCGGGAGGGGGGGGGGAAACGAAATCGCGGGGGAGGGGGGAAACAAAATTGCGGGGGAGGGGGGAAACGAATTTCGACGGGGAGGGGGAAATGAAATTGCGGGGGCGTGGGGAAACGAAATTGCGGGGGAGGGGGGAAACGAATTTCTACTTGAAGGGGTTGAAAGCACACCTCGTAACCCACTCAGTCAAGGGATAACTTTTGATGCACATTCAGCTGAATGTGCACCCCGGTTTTAAATCAACCATACAACACAATTAAAGCCGTTGGCCCAAATTTGACAAGTTTTCAATTCATGACCATAAGCCCTAAAGGCTGCGAGGTCGTTTTAAAGGCACGAGTGGAGGCGAAACTGTGCATCCAGGCTGCGAGTTGGCAAAATATTGAGACGTCTATTCGCACGAAGTGGCAAGTCGTAGGCCAATCAGGAGGTCCGCGCACAAAAATTGTCACACCCCAATTTTGAAACAAGAGCCAATCAGATAGAGTGGTGCACATTTGAATGACGAATTCTCTTCCACACTCACCACCCCCACGCCATCAAACATGTTCAAGCCCCTCAACGACAAATGCTAAGTACCCATTGCGCCCACCTGCTAGTAAGCGACTACTCTGGACTTGCGACGGAGATGTTCTCTGCATTAATTAGACTACGTAACCTTACCACGAATTAAGGGCGTATATTAGCAGAAAGAAAAGACCAACGTTCAGACGGAGGTTTAGGCCAGACACGCGAGCTAAAAGGAGTGTGGAACTTGGAGCGCACATACATAGCATAAATTATGGTAGAGTGGACTCAACAATCTTGCGCGGCGTATGCAAAGAGCCCGGAGTGAAGCGCGCGTCATAACGACGAGCTGAGGACGGAGCGGCGAATAGGGAATGGGGAAAACGAACTCCCTGCCTAAGCATAGCCTTGGAAATGGGCCGTTGTAAATCCAGGTAAGGCACCCCGAAAGGTACGCCCATGTCCACTGCGTTCGCTGCCTACACCTACACCTATGCCCTGCAAGCATCCCAAACGAGGGGGATTGGGCTGTGGAGAGTGAGATTATGGGGAGAATGGGGGAAGACGGTTTAGTGAGGGACAAAGGGATGGGCGGCACGTCGCCGTTGACCTCCCAGCACACTACCTCCCCTCCCCTCTGCGCCGTCATCCTATGTGCGCCCTCCCCTCTGCGCCCTCATCCCAGGTGCGCCCTCCCCTCTGCGCCTTCATTGCAGGTGCGCCCTCCCTTCTGCGCCTTCATTCCCAGCACGTTCCCATTGCACCACAAATTGCCAGAAACCCCACCCCTCACACAACCACTCCGCTCAAACCAGACAGGCAAGCAAACCCATACCATCGCAGCATTGACACTCACTCATGAGAGAGACTTCTGTGTTGTGTCGCGCGGACTTCTGTCTTCCAGAAACTTGGTAACCCGAAAGTCAGAGCGTCAAGTTTTAAAAACTTGACCCGCGTGGCCCGCGATTTGGGCCGTGGGCTTTAAATTGGGTTTTCCCAACCAAACAAAGATGTCACTTAAGCTCCAAGCCTATGAGTTCCCCAATTATGGAAACCATGGTTGGGAAGAGACCCCAAGGGGTATTGTGGAAGGGGTTAGAGCTGGCAAGCTCATTCCTCACTTCCCAACTCCAAACTTACCAATTTGGAAATGGGATTTCTCAAAGTCTTCAAGTTCTCCTAACAAACTCTCCTACACAACTAGGGTTGTGGTTTCTTCAAAAATAAGTTCTACAAACAACTACCTACCTACTTGCTAAAGCTTCACCAACATTCTTCAAGCTCTCTTTCTCCTCTCAAGCTTCAGGATTACTTTTAAGGCTAGATTATCCCTTGGTGGGATTTGTTTAAACTTGGAAGCCTTGTACCTTGATTTTATATATGTTGTCAAGGAGGATGTATATTCAACACACGGTTGCCCGTTGTTATAAGGGCTGTGGTTGTTACATTGCTATATAGAGCTAGGGTAATCCTAAGCCTAGTAGGGATTTTGCCCCTAGAGATTGTTGTTGTTGTTGTTGTTGTTTTTTTTTTTTTTTTTTTTTTTTTTTTTTTTTTTTTTTTTTTTTTTTTTAAGATCTTGAAATTGTGGTTTCTCTTTAAGAGAACACTCAAGATCAAGATGCTTGAAGAGTTCAAGATCTACAAGATCTACAACTGCAACTTCAAGCTAAGAAGAGAGATTTGTCTCTCTTGCCCACTTTTAGGTGGAAGACTCCCTACTGTTGAGTAGTGAAGTATAAATAAGATCTAGAAGATTTGTTGAGGGTTATTCATGTTCTCTTTATTGAGATTTGGATAGACCCTACCCTTTCAATTAGGTGATTGGGAGTGTTGGCAACAAATTTGTTACCTTTGGTAACCTTGAACTATTATGTAGTAGAAATTTCTTCTATAATAATTTCTTGCTTTACCATTGAGGTGGTAAAATGATTTTAACAGAATCAACCCAGGTCTCAACATCTGGCCAAGAGAAGGACATGGCAAGGGAGGAAGGGCCTACTGCACCTAATGAGGTGGTGAGCAATGCTGCTAAGATTGACCTCAATCAAGATGAGGCCATGGCTGACATTGAGCTGGATGACATTGAGAACCTGGACCTGGATGATGAGGATCACTATGTTGAAGCTGATAATCATGTTGAAGCTAAAAACCATGGTGAAGCTGACAACCATGGTGAGCTGATAACAATGGGGAGGAGGACAACACCGATGACAAGGAGAACACTGGTGATAAAAATGACTTCACTGAGGGTGAAGGGATGAGTTATCCTATCTGCGAAGAGATTGTCCAACTCCAGGCTAAAGTGTCAACTAAGAATATCACCATCCTGCAGCAGCAGAAGTCCATTGATGGACTGACAAAGCTGACTAACAAGCTTAAGGCTCAGTTAGGCATTGTCACGAAAGAGGTTTGCCAATTCCGTCGCAGCCTGGGCACTAAAAATCGCGAAATTGAGGAGTTTCAAGATACTTGCAACAAGATGGAAGCGTCATATAACAAGCTCCATGAGCAGTTTAGGGAGCTTAGGAGGGAGGGCATTTACCAACCTCCTCCTGGGCGTAGGCCAGCTCCTGCTGCTCAGCCAGCACCTGCTCGGCCCGCATCTACGCATGTAGGCGCTGCAACGGCTATGCACCAACCACCTCCAACTGAGACCGCACCCTTTGGATCTCTCTCGGCGCCCCTGCCTGAGGTTATCCATGGCAAGACGGAGGTGGAGCCTTGGCTTGACCTGGTGGATAACACCATGACCCTTGCGAATGTGCATCTTGAGGCTCGTGTCACCGCAGCTACTCGTGCATTGGAC